CTGGCACTAGTATGGAATTAGAACAAATTAGACATACTAAAATTTAATCAATGCAAGAATGTGCAGATATTCATATATATTTCACCAGTAGCATAAGAAAAGTGACATCAAATGATAAACAAAAATGATTACACGTAAATTATTTGTTTATGTGTGTGTATGTGTGTGCGAGGAAGTACGTGAGATACCTTCCACAGGCAGGGGTCCCTCGGTAGGAAAGTCAGAACTAGGAACAAGCATTTCGTGGTCTTCTGGCTGCCAAAAACAAAACAATAAAGTAAGCAATTAGATCTAACAAACTCGACAATTTTGATCATTCACATCTAAATAGAGAAATTTATGAAATTTTTACACCACGATATCATCCAAATATTAAATTCAGCACATATCCATCCAAAAGATCAAACTAATTCGAACTCCAACAAAGCATCATAAGTTCAGCAAAAATTCATCAAACAAAACTGATACGCTAAACAAAGTGAAGTAACACATCAATGTAACTGATAAATTTGGTTACCATTTTAAAAAAATTTTAGGTCAATTTCACACCACAATCACACCGGACCACCTTCAGCACCTATAAATCAAAAGCATTCAAAACTACACCAAGCAAAGCTACTTTTAACGAATAATATGCAAAACAAAGTAAAAACTATACAAGAAAAATGAATTTACAAAGCAATCTAACTGATAGATTCAGTCACTATCGCTTTTTAAGGAAATTTAAGGTCAATTTCACATGGCAATCACAGCTGATTACATTCAGACCTATAAATCAAAAACGTTCAACATTTTAAAAACTACACCAAGCAAATCTACTTTAAGCAAATACAAAGGAAAATCAGTTAAAACAAAATGAATTCACACAGAATCCAAGCTAAAAAATTCAGTCACCATAGCTTTCTAAACAAATTTAGGTCAATTTCACGCCGTACTCACAGCAGACCACATTCAGCACCTAAAAATCAAAAGCATTCAAAATTTTAAAAGCTACTTCAATAAAACAACCCCTGAACAAATTAGGGAAGTCCTCCAAAATGATCAAAATACACAAAACAAACTAAAACTGTAAACGCAAACCGCAAAAAGAAAAACGGAAATGGAGATTACATCTCTCAGAGCGTCGTCTTAAAAACATCAACGATATCCACACAAAAAAAAAACGCAACCACAAACAAAAACGAACTGAATTCACACAGTAACCTAGCTTATAAAATTCAGTCACGATTGAACTTTTAAGCAAATTTTAGGTCAATCAACATTCATCACCAATTTAATCAAAACAATTAACAGTTTCAAAAAAATAAACTACAAAATCTTCACAGAGCTAAAAAAGTTTACAGATTAGAAATGAAGATTACTTACATCTACCGGAGGAGGCGTGAGCAGAGTCATTGCCGGAAAAAATTAACCGTACGATCGTCCGGCGAATCGGAGAATTGAGAATTCAGAGGATTTGGAGAAGGCGATGGATCGAAAGACTTTGTGTTGAGTAAATGAGTGCAAGGACTGAAAAAATGAAGAAGAGGTAGTGAAGAAAGCAAGAGAGGTTTATATTGAGGGTAATTTGGCAATTATGACAACACTAATATTTTATTATTATTATTATTATTTATTAATTATTTTATTGTTAAAGTTCATTTTATTTTATTGTAATAGTGATTCCAAAAAGGGCATAACATTCATTGAAAATTTAAATATGTTTATTTTAATTTAACAAAAATAAAAAAATAATTAATGTTAGATACTTTAAAAAATATATATTAATAATTTTCCTTTTTTGTAAGTTGAATATCAAAATTATTAAAAAAGATTAGTCAAGACATAATTTGTTTATGAAAAGCACTTCTTAGTAAAATACAAATTATTATTTTTTTTCAACATTCATTTTTTAAAAGTACTTTTAAAAATAAGTTGATTTAAAAATAATGTCAAACAGACTCTTAATCATGTGGTATTAAATATGCCAAATAAAAAAAGAGAATTATATTGACTGAAAATTTAAATATGTTCATTTTAATTTAAGAAAAAATAATTAACAATTTTCCTTTTTTGTAAGTTGAATATTAAAAAAAATTAGTCAGACATAATTTGCTTATGAAAAATATTTTTTAGTCAAATACAAATAGTTTTTCTCCAAAATTCATTTTAAAAGAGTACCTCTAAAAATAAGTTAATTTAACATTATTGCCAAACAGACTCTTAATCATGTGGTATTAAATATGTCAAGTAAAAAATTAGAATTAAAATATTTGTAAAAAATATTGTTTTTTTAAAGACTAATCAATTGAAATGGAGGGGGTATAAGAATTTTTGTCATAATTTATATAGTAGTGTTTGAATTTGGACATTCAAATGAGTTTTCTTAGTATACTTTTTTATGTTTTTAAATTAAAATTGTAAATTATTGTAATTTTTAGTACAATTTTATGCTATTTTTTAATCTGTAAATTATGTTTTTAAATCTTAAAGATTTTATATATGAATTTACGATAAAAATAAAAAGTTTAATTCAAGTTATAAGACATGAATTTGAAAAAAATAAATTTACATATTATTGTTGTAAATATTTTTGGACGAGTGATCAAATATGTAATATATGTACATACATAAAGTATTTTTTCTATATTGATGTAATTTAACATATTATAACAAGTTAAATCTTATTTTGATTTATTTACTGTAAATATATAATAATAATAATAATAATAATAATAACAACAACAACAACAACAACAACATGATAAATAAATTTGATTGCGTAAATAATTTTTTAAATTTTTATTAATACATAATAAAATAATTATATGAAGTAAACTCCATTTATTGTTGTTGTTCTACTTTTTCTTTATGATAATTTCATGTTTAAGGAGGTTATTTCATGGCATTGAGTATTTATTATTGATGGGAAAAAAAGATAATTGTCTTAATTTTGTACTTGGATTTTGAATTTTAGTTTGTCTATTTCAAAAATGTTATGTCTTATTGTTTAAGTATTCCTATAATATAGTTTTCCTTTTTTGTAAGTTGAATATCAAAATTATTAAAAAAGATTAGTCAAGACATAATTTGTTTATGAAAAGTACTTCTTAGTCAAATACAAATTGTTTTTTTTTTCAAAATTCATTTTTAAAAAGTACTTTTAAAAATAAGTTGATTTAAAAATAATGTCAAATCGACTTTTAATCATGTGTTATTAAATATGCCAAGTAATAAAATAGAATTAATATTGATTGAAAATTTAAATATGTTCATTTTAATTTAAGAAAAATGAAAAATTAATTAATAGTAGATATTTTTAAAAAATAATTAACAATTTTTCTTTTTTGTAAATTGAATATTAAAAAGATTAGTCAGACAAAATTTGCTTATAAAAAATATTTTTTAGTCAAATACAAATAGTTTTTCTCCAAAATTCATTTTAGAAGAGTACCTCTAAAAATAAGTTAATTTAACATTATTGCCAAACAGACTCTTAATCATGTAGTATTAAATATGTCAACTAAAAAATTAGAATTAAAATATTTATAAAAGAAATGTTTTTTTTTAAAGACTAATCAATTGAAATGGAGGGAGTATAAGAATTTTTGTCATAATTTATATAGTAGTGTTTGAATTTGAACATTCAAATGAGTTTTCTTAGTATACTTTTTTATGTTTTTAAATTAAAATTGTAAACTATTATAATTTATAGTACAATTTTACGCTATTTTTGAATATGTAAATTATATTTTCAAATCTTAAAGATTTTATATATGAATTCACGATAAAAATAAAAAAGTTTAATTTAAGTTATAAGACATGAATTTGAAAAAATTAAATGTACATATTATTGTTGTAAGTATTTTTGGACGAGTGATCAAATATGTAATATATGTACATAAAAATTATAAAGTATTTTTTTTTAATATTGATGCAATTTAACATATTATAACAAGTTAATTCTTATTTTAATTTATTTACTGTAAATATATAATAATAATAATAATAACAACAACAATAACATGATTAATAAATTTGATTGCGTAAATAATTTTTTAAATTTTTATTAATACATAATAAAATGATGATATGAAGTAAACTCCATTTATTGTTATTGTTCTATTTTTTCTTTAGGATAATTTCATGTTTAAGGAGGTTATTTCATGGCATTGAGTATTTATTATTGATGGAAAAAAAAAGATAATTGTCTTAATTTTGTACTTTGACTTTGAATTTTAGTTTGTCTATTTAAAAAATGTCATGTCTTATTGTTTAAGTATTCCTATAGCATTAATTAGGAAATAATCCTTATTTAGAAAACTTCTAATTCTACTTTTATTTACAACTTTTTGGTTAAAAAAAAATATAGAACTCTCATAGTTGTCTATTTGATGTTAATTTAGATAAGTTCAGTGTGAGTTTCGAAAATTGAATAATTTTATGACTATCTGAATAATGTTCATCACAGTTATATCTAATATCGTCTATTTTAATTTAGTCATCAAAGTAAAAAAATGCTATATATTGTTGTCTATCTTACTGGTTTAAGGTATTTTAAATAAGTTCGAATTTACACGTAGTTCATAAATTTCAAGAGAAAATGTATAATTTTATTTGTCAAAATTAATACAAACTTAATATTTTGTTTACAAATTAGGTGAATGTTCGATGTTATTGGACAACCGTAAGTGGAAAAGCAACAAATATAATTCTAATAAATTGATCTTTTAACTTTTTTTCTTTAACAGAATGATTGCATATATACGTAAATAGACGTAGACCTCTTAACTTTATCTCAAATGTCAAATAAACATTTCATTTTTAAACATACACGCTCCAAGATACACCAACTTATTTTCATTGTGTCAATTGAACACTTTTAACTTACATAATAATCATCTAAACACTTTCGAGATTCACATAACGCATTAGTATCAGGTGATCACAAGATATATATGTTACTAGGAGCAACAACAATGACAAAATATAGATGATGAAAGAAATCGTTTTCTCCGGAATATATTATAATCTTTTTCTGAAAACAATTTTTTATCCTTATATATATATCATCCTTCTAGATAATACGATGCAAAGTAACGAAACACAAAGTTAACAATGACCTAGATCCATGTAAAACATAGTCATAAACTGAAGTAATAAGATTATTCGATAATTGTCTAGCAAAAGTAATTCATAATTTATCTCCTTCTGGTTATAAAGTCCTATCTTGAACAACCTGCATTCAAATAAAAGAAATGAATAAGTGTTGCGATCGATATGTATTACATAAGAGCTTATCTATGAAGATGTTTGACTAAGCTCATAAGCTGATCAAATTAATATATAAGTATCTTTCAGCATATTACACATTTGCGAAAAGATTTAAAGTGCTAGAAGTCAAAAAATTATATAAGTTGATCACTCCCGACTTTATAACTTTTTTCAAGCTTATAAACACTACCTAATATTTTATCCTATAGTATATATTAAAATATTTTTCCCAAAACAAGACTCTTAAACTTCTCTTCATTCAATATTTGTTGTTCCTCTTTTCCTTTACAAGGAAGCATTCAAAAATATAAACTTATGGGAAAAACTTAGAATATTTAGTTGATTAATTTAATAAAAGAACAGTTAGTCAACACTTTCTTCAACCAAACACATCAACTAGGGTTCGTCTGTTACGAGAGGTAAAAGGATGATAATCTCGAGATAAAATGCATGATTATTTTATCTTGCGTTTGGTTAAGTGTATTAGATAGTGTGGTGGTTATTAATCTCATCCCCAAACCGAAACAACCTGAGAAATGGTGTGATGAATAGATAAACAATGACTTACTTCAAGGCAGGGTAATATAAGCTTCAAGTATGACTTTATCATCAACAAGATAACCTCTTCTAGGATCATATAGTTCAGTAAGAGGCATGAATGATGCGAAACCCCATGCGCGCGTTCTTGCATTAAACTGGAGCTGAGTATCTGTCATAACGATCATAACAAAACGAAAAACAGTAAGCACTTCACCTAAATCAATAACGTAACTTGAACCCCCTCAGCAATAAGGTGAAAGTTCAGATAGTCAACTAACTGAGCTACTAAGATTTTCTCCAGTGAAAGTAAGAGGATCAGGCTCGACAAAAACACATAGATCATATCTTTTATACTACAAGAAATGAGATCTCTAACCTTTTCTCACTGTGAATTTGTCATCGATTTGATTGAGAACAGCTAAGCTAAATTGAGCATATCTAATCCAACCAGAAGGCAATGCTGCAGTATTTACCACTGTTAAATAAAGTGATAAATGGTCTCCATTGTTCCCTTTTGGGGCCATCAGTACCCTCCTGCAAGACAATGCACCGTATAGTAAATCATCATCGTTACCATCATCATATCCGCAATTAAATTTGTAACGTAATCTACTAAAAATAGGATGTGTGTTGATTACCATTGATATGTTCCTACGTTAAAAGCATCAGAGTACGATTTCTTCCAGTTCAACTTTGAGAAATTGTGGACAGTCCATGTAAATCGGGCTGATACTGGACCTTCCACTGCCAGTACATCCATCATACTTGTTGTTTCCGCTGTAGCAAATGCCAAAAACAAAACATGCGAAATTTATATATAACAGAGAAACAAAGTGCAAAATAACACGAATAATAACTCAATCAATGTAAATATGAATATCAAATACACAAAGTGTGTGAGGTTGTGTTTAGAAGTAGGTGAGATACCTTCGACGAGTAGCTGAGGTCCGTTAGTAGGCAAATGAGATATAGGAATAAGATTTTCATGCCCTATTAGCTGCAAAAGACGAAGCAAAGTAAGAAAATTCGTTCCAACAAAACTAGACAATTGTCAATAACATGTCTATTTCGATGGTTGTTACATATTTTAGTATTCTACTGTACTGTATCGTAATGTATTGTTTTGGAGAATATAATGTTTGGATAGACTGTATTGTTTCCAACAAAAGAAAAGTAGGGTACAACGTAGAGCTGCCATAAAAAGACAGTACAAAAGGATTAGTAAGTAAAAACGAAATGAGAAGAAGAATACAGAAGTGTAATGACATGATCACACCATGTCGATCCTTATACAAATGAGACTGTACAATATACCTGGCGATTGTGCACGTATTTCAAAAATGAAGGAACGTCAGGAAAACGATATTGTTCACTGTGTTGATTTCGAAGGGATTTCTGAAAGCAAATGATATCCCCATTGCCCAGCTGCAAAGGCAGAGGAGTATTTGCATTTCATTGCTAATAAATCCAGAAGAAGTGAAGAGAAAAAACTGTCGAGAAGGAAACTAATTGCGCGTACATTGTAGTCACGAAGACTCAGCATAGTGTTAAGTTGTAAACACATCGCACTGGGATTAAAGTTTATTTCCTGTGATCAATAACAAAATCTGAAAACCACATACCAAATGTTAAGAGTTTAAAAAATTGGTAGCAAGAGAAGAAGAAAACGAACCTCGAAGAGATCAATTTCTTCATCAGGCGAAAAGCTAGCCAATTCTTTTAGCTTTGATAATATCTCAAGTAGCTTGCTTCTTTCTTTTACAAAAAGTCGTCCAACGTACCTGACAAACAACAAAGAAATTAAACGGAAAAAAGACTAGAAAACCGCGTCCATTGAAAGTACAAAACACCTCTCGATGCAGTCGTGCTTTCTAAAAATAGATGAAGAGATCCCAAATTCAAGCACGAAAAAATATTCATGCTATTGAATGTAATACCTTATGCTCTCTTCGACAGGGTTATATAGTTTGAAAAATACAAGGATTTCTTTGTTCTTCTTCCCTGGTGGAGGTAAACGTCGCAAATCCTGCAAGAATACACAATATAAAAATGTAAAAGTAAAGCCACACAGAGAAGACATGCAATAAGTTAATCACCGAAAAGGAAGACAAGAAAGCTATGTTGCTCAGAAGCTTCAAAAATGTCACAGGTGAGTGTCGGATCCTTCAATAGTAGTTCATTTTTAGAGGATCTGACACGGATGTGGCAATATTTTTGGAGAGTCCGAGCAACTTAGCAAGAAATAAAGCAAGTGATCACATTACCGGGCATAGTATTACTTCCAGAAACAGTTTTAGCTCAGAATTATTCACCGTAATTGAATTTTCCCTTAGTTGGCCAACCTGAGAACACAGACACAACATCGAAGAACTTAATACCGAGTTAATGAAGTACTCCAATCCTTTAACAGATAACGTGTAGTACAGAAGAACGATAGTCAGACAAAAATGATGACATTATCAGCCACAAATGTCACGCTTCACGTTCCTACCAATTCAACAGAGTTAGGATTGTAATAATTATTACATTCCTTTTTGACTATTTTTGGGCGAAAATAATGTTAGTTCACACAAACCTCGACTGTTCCAACACGAATATCATTCTTTTTTATTTGTGATGGCATAAGCTAAGGAGAACAATTTTTTTGTGGAAAACCAAACATGAAATATACAAAGAAAATCACCAGTAAAACTGCAGAAAGATAGGACTATCAGACAACTTACGGAATATTGAGTTTCCTCTTGAGATGTCAATGCACGTTCAGGACGATATGTGTTGTTCACGCGTTTTTTCCATAGCCAGTAACGTTGAAATTGCACCGGTATACCAAATGCCTTGGCAACTTCCTCCTGGAAACAGATGTACCATCAAACATGATAAAGAAATGTACTTTGACCTAGCTCATGATCGGAGGATTGTCTAAAACTGTATAAAAAGACATCCCGTCCCTAACACCCCTCGCACGCTCAGGACTAGACATCTGGAGCGTGGGCAATATAAGATGAGGAACTAACATCGATAAATGATGATTGAGATAGACTTGACTCTGATACTATGTGAGAAATAATTATTGAATTGTGTATCGACATTAGTACACTGAGGCCTATTTATAGACACTACATTATAATCAATTTTCACATAGGATACAATATGTAGATCATGTTCTATTCCTATTCTAACAAGATACATGTCATACTTAAGACTTACCGTGAGTGACCAATTACATATAAAGCGTTACTAATTTTGTAAACTCTCACTGCACTTACTACTAGAACTCCGTGTTCTCAATTTTTATGATCGTCTATATACTCCTCATTTTTTACTTGCTTTAGCACTCAGTCTTCGAAGTTTTTATCTTTTAACTCAATATAACGCACAAATACAGAAAGTTTACATTCCATACTTTAAGTTTTAGAAGCAGCAAATTTCACATGACGCCTCTTTAATAAACAAGGGAAAACCGAATTCATTCTCACACAGTACATATAATTGTTCGTCATGTTAGAAAAGAGTGCAACAGAATGATAGATGTACCTTGAATTTAGTAAATGGCATCTGTTTCTGCATACAAAAAGTAGGTACTTTATCATGATTCACGAGATCAAAATAAATTTCCTTCCCGATTTGTTCACCAAGGTTTTCATCACGAGCTACCTGAAAAATGAAATGACTAATTTTAGTTCAATGTATTCAAAAAGTATAAAAACACAAGTAATTAAAGGATAGCGACAAAAAGTTGAAAGAAACCTTGATCATTGTGTAGAGACAAGCATCTGCATTTTGTTCTGTTTCAACATGCTCTATCCTCGCTATAAACTGGAGGTCGATAAAAGATTACTATCAGACGTGTAGAATGAGAAACTAAATCAGCAGTATATTGAGTAGATACTCATCCGAAGATGCTAAACTATGTCCTTCTCATCCACATTGCATATAAATCTTTTTTTCTCCGATTAGACTGTGCCGCACATACCTGCCAGCTGTACACGTACTTCAAAAACAAAGGAACCTCAGGAAAGCGATACTGTTCTCTGCATTGATTTTGAAGGGATTTCTGAAAGCAAATTATATCCCCATCTTCCAGCTGCAAAGCCAGAGTATTACGTAAAAAATTCACTACATAAAAAATTATCTTTAACGGCAATAACACTAAATATGTACTTTTAGCAGCAATTAGCACTCTTTCTATATGTCCCTAAAGTATTTAGTGACATTGGATCCAATGACAGTTACAGTAGATATTAATATTTATAGCCGCTAAAAGGTATTTTTGTTGTAGTGATATGACTATCGTTGCTAAAAACACCAAAGTGTCACCTGGTAGTCGCGAATACTCAGCATAATGTTAAGTTTTTCACACCACACACTAGGATGAAATTGTATTTCCTGCGAATAATAAAACTTGAAAATCATATTTCATATATTAAGAGTTAAATGAAAAAAAAATTGCTAGAGAAGAAGAGAACTGATTAACCTCAAAGAGATCAATTTCTTCATCAGGTGAAAAGCCAACCAATTCTTTTAGCTTTGGTAATATCTCAAGTAGCTTGCCACTTTCTTTTACGAGAAGTCGTCCAGCATACCTGACAACAACAAGGAAATTAAACAGATAAACACGAGAAAATCGCATCCACATCATGGATGAGGTTATACAATGTCACAATAAGTTCTCTATGATGTCTGTTTTAGAACTCGAGATTCATTAAAAGTACAAAACACCTCTCCGTGTAGTCGTGTTTTCTCAAAATAGATAACGAGATTCCAAATTCAAGCATGAAAATCACTACTTTACTATTGAGAAGCAAGATGTAATACCTTATCTTCTCTTCGAGAGGGTCATAAAGTTTGAAAAATAGAAGGATTTCTTCCTCAGTTTTCCCTGGTGAAGATAAACGTCGCAAATCCTACAAGAATACACAAGATTTAAAAAAATAAGTCGTAAAGTAAAACATGTAGAGTAAAGACTCACAGAGAAGACATGCAACAAGTTAATCACTGAAAAGAAAGACGAGAAATGCATTACCAGACATAATTCTACTTCCAGAAACAGTTTTAGCTCAGCATTGTTCATTTCATTTGAACTTTCTCTCAATTGACCAACCTGAGAACACACCATCGAAGAACTTAATACCGAGTTAATCAAGCACGGATTGTAGAAACCAAACAACTGAAGACATTTATTTTTCTTAGCATGGTAAAATTGGTCGATGTGCAAGCTCAGGATAAAAAAATTTCAAGAAACAATTATATGATTGCAATTTGCAATAACTATTACATTCCTTAGTCGATTAGAGTTTTCGCATAGCTTTTTTTGGTAATAGTGGTGTCCTGGTCAAGTTGCACAAACCTCGGCTATTCCACGGAGTATCTGCTATCTCCCACCAGAACAAGTATCGAGTTGAGTCAACAAAAATATCATTGAAGATATAATTAACTAACCAAAAGTATATATGCTATCTCTAACAACTTAAGTTTTTAGCTAAGATGGTCACGTACTTCCAGCAGTATCTAAGCATGCAAAGGTTTTAGGTTAAAATTTCATTGTCAACCTTTATCAAAAAGGATTTTCACGTGGTTGGCTCGTCAAAAGGAATCAAGCTCGCATGTGAAGGGTGTGTTGAAGATACAATTGATGAAATAAAAGTTGTTCTCTTTAACAATTTAAGCTTATGAAATGATCGATACTTCAACAACTCTATTACTTTCTACATTCATACAAACGTACAAATTGATTGTGCTTACCTACTTATGGAAAATATTTCAAGTCTTTGGTACGCACGATGACCTACTCATGACAAATATTACTACGCATACTACTATGTCCACGAGAGAAGAAAAGTTAGTATTCTAGAACGATGAAGTGTTTAAGTTAAACTAGATGCTAAATATGTTTTCATGAGCTTATGGGTCGATCATGTCATTTACATACAAGAGTATTCCATGTGTGTTGTGGGATTACAGTGGGTATGTTGTTGTTGCTATTGTACTATTTGATATATACTTACGCCCCTTTTGTCAGGAGCATTGCATATTACGATGCAGGTTCAAGTGTTCAGAGCGACATGCTTCCTCATCAGACATCTTTCTCCTTATCCAGCTCATATTGGTGAACCCCACTTTGTATTTGGGCCAATAGTTCATGTCTCTTGATATAGTTAGATCTTTTGGGTAAATAGGGGCCTTGTCTCAGCATTTCTATATCGATGTCATGTTTAGAGGCTTTGTAGACTAATGTACTCAAGTCATGCATATGTTTCGAAAACTACTCCACATTTTTCAGCTTATGACGGAATTTCAGTTATGTATGTGAAAAATATTGTTTATATCGTTTTATGAAAAAGGAAAGTTCTTAGTAAACTCACTTAAATGTTTTACCATTCGTGGGAAAGTTTGGTCTAATGAGGCCAACGTCTCCCGTTCCATTTCAAAGAAGGTTGTTATGTCATTGTGTTCGAATGAAAGGGTTCACTCGATCAGGTAAAGGCACAGGATGCCAGTCCCCCAGGCTAGGTTCGGGGTGTGACATTAAGCACATCAAACACGAGAAAAAAAAATTTCATGTAGGATAAGGTGAGGAGAACAAATTTTAGGTGGATCACAAACATGAAATATAATTTATATACAAAGCATATTACAAGTAGAGCTGCAGTCACACAGCAGAAAAATAGGATTATCAGACTTACAGAGTGAACTTCCTCTTGCACTGTTAATGCATGATAAGGCCGATACGTGTGGTTGTTGCGTTTATACCATAGCCAGTAACGTTGAAATTGCACCGGTATACCAAATGCCTTAGCAACTTCCTCCTGAAAACAAATATATCATCAAACACATACTATACTTAAGACTTACAGCGATCGACAAATAATATTGTGAACCCTTACCCTGCATTGGCCTCAGAATTTAAAGTTTTATCTTTTAACGCAATATAAAAGACAAGTACAAAACGATTACATTCCATATTTCAAGTTGTCGAATCTAAGCAGTAAATTTCATATGACTCCACTTTAGTAAATAAGGGCTAAATGAAATCATTCTGTTTAGAAATGCAATAGAATGATGAATGTACCTTGAATTGAGTGAATGGTGTATCTTTCTTAACACGAAATGTACGCACTTTGTCATGATTCACGAGATCAAAATAAATATCCTTCCCAATTTGTTCACCGAGGTCTTCATCACGAGCTACCTGAAAATGAAATGACTAATTTCAGTTCAAATTTTTCGTAAATATAAAGACACAAGAAGTTAAGGATAGATACTAAAAGTTGAATGAAACCTTGATGATCGTGTAGAGACGAGCCTCTAATTTCGCCTTTCTCCTTTCCTCCTTCTCTTCTTGCTCTTTGTTCAGTCTTATCTGAAATTTGAGTAGGATAAAAGATTATTATGACTCATGAACTGATAGAATGAGATGCTCGGTTTTACATGGACGAATTTATAGGTGAAAACACGGGACAAGTATTGTAGTCTTTCAGTAAAACTAGATATTTTATGTATATATCTCTAAAGTTGATATAATATTACATATTGGCTCCCATGCTATAGAATGCCTTAGCGGTACATTTGGTTAAATGTTGAGTTATTTAGCTAGAAATCATAGATTCGTCTCTGCTTGTCAACCACATTGCATATAATCTTTACCTTGTCGTTTACACGCGTATAAAACAAGCATGTATTTGATTGAATATTTAAGAGTTCAAACAATGAATTGTTGCCAAAATATGGACTACTAGAACTAATCAAACTTCCAATGGTCTAAACTCTTGACATAATCTCGACATTTGGAAATACAATGTTGTCGATGGACATTCTTAGATGCTCCATGTGTAGTTCGTTACTTAAACTTCCGCTATACTTAGATTAT